CTAAATATAAGCATTTTCATCATGGTTTTATTTATTACAAACATATTCTTTCACCATCTATACACATTGAGGCCCTTCTTTTTGGTTAAAATGATCTATCTTAAATTTGTCTTTCTTGAGTTTGGAACTATTATGTGTTTAAATAACTTAAAAGGATAAAACTAAAAGAGCCCTAAAAAATGCGCGCCAAGCGCGCAAAATATTTTTGTATTTTTAATTCTAATTTCGTCGGAATTGATGAAAACTCCCTAAAATGAGCAATTTATAGAGGAAATTGGCGTACCGTAACAAGAAAGTCGCGCAAAGAATTTGAGAATTTTAGGCACTTTCAGAGGATGCATTTGTCAAGGGGTGGGGAAAGATTTTCCAAAGAGGGATATTTTCCCCTTGTCCCCCGGTGTTTTTAATTCTAATTTCGTTGGAATTGATCAAAACTCCCTAAAATGTGCAATTTTTACAGAAAATTGGGCCATTTTGAGGTTTTTAGGCACTTTCAGGGGATAAAAGGGCATTTATAAAGGGGTGGGGAAGATTTTTCAAAGATAGATATTTTCCCCTTGTCCCCCATTGATTGCGCCATCGGGCAGCATAGATCAAAGGAGTTATGACAGTTTTTGAAGTGCAGAAGGGGTTGCAGGGTGTTGTGAGTCTGGTCATTATGACATCTTCCTTTTTATTCTTGTCTGTATTTTTCTCTTCATTTTCTTTCCTTTTCTTTTCCTCTTCTTTCTCTTTCCTTCCCTCTCCCCTCTTTCTTTTCTCTTATTACCCAGTCCGGTACGAAGGCTTGGTCAGCCCGGTAAAAATCGTCAGGGGAGGGGCAGTTTTCCCCTGCCCCCGCGCCTGTTACGACACTGGCTAACACGCCAATCGTCCCCCCAATGAAAAATATTTTACTACGCCACTGGGCACACACTGAATCTTACGAATCCGTCTCCGCTTTTTGTGAGCGCTTCACGTTGTTGATTGTCAACGGTAGAATGAGTGGATTTTGATTTAATAGTTGCGTAATTTACTCGCGTTGGCCGACGATAATCAGCGCTTTTCAGATACTGATAATTCTTCAAACAGTATTTTATGATTATTTTTGTTTTGGTAAGGCATGCGATTCCGCAATTCAGTGGCCGCGCATAAAATTAAAGGTACCTTACTATTATACAATGATACAAATAATTTAAACGTATCTGAATACTGTATAACAATGAACTTTTCACATCAAATGTTGAATGCCTAAGTAATTTTCGACATGTTAGTTACAAGAAAGTATGTGTTATACATATGATATGTGTATATACGTTTTATTGAACCCATTTCTTCATAAAAAATCAATATAAATATTGTTTTTATTCTCTTAATAAGGAGAAAGGTTGACCGGAGCTGTTGTTAGTGTAGGCAATGACAAAACTTCACCTTTTACTGGAAATACGCAATGTGGACCTACAGTTACACAAACAATGACATATAGACGCCCTATAATAATGAGATGCAATCCACCTATTGCAGGACAATATGTCAGTGTATATTTACATGGAAGTGAACCTCTTTCTCTTTGTGAAGTGGAAGTATATAAAGGTATCATCATTTGTTTTTTAGGCGTAGGTGTAAAATCAGTTAACCATGGTTAACTGATGGTATGTGCCATCCCTAGTCGTCAGTATACATATTATGAATGTCCGCAATTAACTATTTACTCACTAAAGATTGTTTAAAATGCTAGTGTTTTTTCCGGGGAGGAAAGGGGCGATTCCTTGACGAGAAAGCCGATTTTCCCGACGGAACCATAAGTTGAAGGGACGAGGGGCAGCCCAAAACCCCTAAGAGGGAGTCTAAAAAAGGCGAAGAGAGAATTGAGACCCAGATCTTCTGCTAGGCCTTTCGTTTTGAAGTTCGAATCCGATTAGAGGCAATTGATTTTACAGTCCATCGGTACGCCAATACAACATTATTCGTCGAAAACATTTGAAAAAGAGGCAATTGTGAACACACACTTCGCTTATGCACCTTAAAAGACAAAACGGGGTCTCCAGAGAGATATTTCTAATAATATCCAGATGGGGCGATTTTTTTCGAACTCACAGAATGCTCTCTTATATACATTTTGTTTTACAGATATAAGTAATCCTGTACTGAAATGCCCTGAAGATATTGTCGTAAGTGCTAGTCTTAACCAGTCAATTATTCCAGTTACATGGAGTAACCCTACTGTGATGGACAATATCGATTCTGGTCTAATGGCTATCTGCACTCCAGCCTCTGGTTCCTTATTTGAAATTGGGTTTACTAAGGTGAATTGTTCTGCAACCGATGTATCTGAAAATGCTGGACACTGCTCATTTGTTGTTAATGTTGCAGGTTAGAACGTTGTAACGTCCGTTTTAATGAGAAATATGATGGTATTACTAATTATATATATATATATATATATATATATATATATATATCTGTGTGTGTATGTATATGTATACATTTATGGACACTCCTAGCTCTCTACTTTAATCAAGCACTATTCACACCTTCTTTGTTTCAAATGAAAAAACAATAGGTCACCGACGATCACCAACTCTATTTAAGCAGGTTAGAACATTGTAACGTCTGTTTTAATGAGAAATATGATGGTATTACTAATTATACTAATGTTGATGTGATGATGATGAATTTTACTAAAAGTGTCATTTCCTGTCTCTTATACACATCTAGATGTGTATAAGAGACAGGTTGATAGGCTTAATTTAATTATAGTTTGCTTACAATAGATTATTCGTTAGAAATGATGACTATGTTTAGACCACAATTTCGCTTAAAATTTGTAACTGATGTATCAACCTTAAAGCTTGGAAAACAATTTAGATTATCCATAAGTAATTTCATGTAACTTTCTGCATGCTAGAGAACAGAACATTTATCAAAGGTCTACTTGAAAGGACATCTACCAATGTATTTTCATGGAATATACTTACTGAGGGATACTCAGATATTTTTTGGTTCATAAAAAGATACACTCATTTGCCTTTCACTAGCCTAATAATGAAAGTAAATAGAAATAAGTAATGTAAATGTAATGTAAAATAGAATACAAATCCATTATGCCAAACATTAGTCCATCAGTCAACATGTTTAATTATGCCATATAATCCTTCTTGAAAGAAGAAGTTTACCTATTGTTTTAAAAAAAAATCTATATAGATGATGAGGAGCCAACCCTCGAGTGTCCTCAGCATATTATAGTAAACAATTCTGTTGATCAGTCTGAGAAACCAGTAACTTGGAAGGAACCGACAGTGACTGACAATGTACATATCGGTATGTCAGCAAGTTGTACACCAGCATCTGGATCCGTCTTTGATGTTGGTTCAACTATCGTCACCTGTTCTGCTACTGATGGTGCTAGTAACGAAGGAAGCTGTTCATTTGTTGTCCATGTCGAAGGACAGGAATTTCCTTCATGTAAGAACTTTATGTAATGTATATAATTTTGCTATACCTCATAAAAAAAAGTCTAAATGCGCTGTTTAGTGATCAAATAGACTTAAAATGTTTTTAAAAAAATGTGTTTTGAAACGTTTTTTTAATTTTGAGAGAAGGTGATGTTCAAACTTCAAAAGGCTGGGGCGTCCATAGTATTGGCCCAGTAACAGGAAATGCTCTGTTGCTATAAGATATCAATCGACTATATAGAGTGTTAAAGAACAACTGTGCTGGTGGAAGATCAAGAGAAGGAGGAATAAAATAAATTTAAAAAATAATAAAGTAAACATTTTCTATTTACTTTTTTGAGCTCACTATTCTTACCTTGACTCGTGCTTACAACTGAGACAGCAGAAAATTAAGAGAAAGCAACGTTTTGTTTTGAAATAATTGTAATATTTTGTAAGCCTAATGAAATTATTCGAAGATTGCAGGTATTTAATGGTATTAAGCCCAATGATGAAAATATGATAATACTTCTGATATCTAACATATTTTATATTTAACATAAATGATATTTTCATGTTTTACAAATAGTCAGATCGATCTTTATATCTAGGATTTTTTTTTTCAAATTTTATATATCGCAAGAATGTATAGGTAAAACGGCATCAAATAATTTACTTGAATTAAGAAACGAAATGTATTGAGTCCAAAACATTGGCAACACAAAGCAGGGACGTATTCAGTGGGGAGCCGCGGCTTCCCCCTCCCCCCTTTGTACACAGTGTTAAAATTTTAAAGCTTATTCTTGAGCCAATACAAATTCTTTCCTGGGATCACTCAAAATGAATACTTCTAAACATGTAAATATGCATCAGTACACGTTATACATAGGCCTAATAGAACTCATAGGCCTAAGCGTGATTAAAAAAAAATCTTAAATCCATAAATCTCAGGCCAGGTCTTTTAAGATAGAAATGCGATACTGTGGTTCAATTTCGTTTTTATCCTTTTGCAAGTTTCTTTAAATGATTGTTTAATAATACTACTACTAATAGTAATAATAATAATAACAATGATGATGATGACAATAGGATACATCCCCGGCTAAGTCCCCGCCACACCGCCGTAGTCCTGGGAAAATGCCTCGCTAATAAATGATTGGAGGATAAAACCTACTTGAAGGTTTAGCCTACAGTAGGTCTGAATCGGAGAAGCAACGTGAGAGCTAGGCCAAGGAGATGAGGTTCCTTGATGGAAGCACTACGCGTGCGTATCACTTAGCAGTTTCCATGGAAGTTTGGACTACAATTGACAAGTGCATAATCTGTCTCTTATACACATCTAGATGTGTATAAGAGATAGATTTTTCAGTGGGATTGAGCACTGTTTCACAAAAAATCATTTATATATATATATATATATATATATATATATATATATATGTATGTATGTATGTATGTATATATATATATATATGTATATATATAGTTGATAGACTTAATTTAATTATAGTTTGCTTACAATAGATTATTCGTTAGAAATGATGACTATGTTTAGACCACAATTTTGCTTAAAATTTGTAACTGATGTATCAACCTTAAAGCTTGGCAAACAATTTAGATTATACATAAGTAATTTCATGTAACTTTCTGCATGCTAAAGAACAGAACATATATTACTGATTATCAAAGGTCTACTTGAAAGGACAGCTACCAATGTATTTTCATGGAATATACTTACTGAGGGATACTCAGATATTTTTTGGTTCATAAAAAGATACACTTATTTGCCTTTCACTAGCCTAATAATGAAAGTAAATAGAAATAGGTAATGTAAATGTAATGTAAAATAGAATACAAATCCATTATGCCAAACATTAGTCCAGCAGTCAACATGTTTAAGTATGTCATATAATCCTTCTTGAAAGAAGAAGTTTAGCTATTGTTTTGAAAAAAAATCTATATAGATGATGAGGAGCCAACCCTCGAGTGTCCTCAGCATATTATAGTAAACAATTCTGTTGATCAGTCTGAAAAACCAGTAACTTGGAAGGAACCGACAGTGACTGACAATGTACATATCGGTATGTCAGCAACATGTACACCAGCATCTGGATCTGTCTTTGATGTTGGTTCAACTATCGTCACCTGTTCTGCTACAGATGGTGCTAGTAACGAAGGAAGCTGTTCATTTGTTGTCCATGTCGAAGGACAGGAATTTCCTTCAGGTAAGAACTTTATGTAATGTATATAATTTTGCTATACCTCATAAAAAAAAAGTTTAAATGCGCTGTTTAGTGATCAAATAGACTTAAAATGTTTAAAAAAAAATGTGTTTTGAAACGTTTTTTTAATTTTGAGAGAAGGGGATGTTCAAACTTCAAAAGGCTGGGGCGTCCATAGTATTGGCCCAGCAACAGGAAATGCTCTGTTGCTATAAGATATCAATCGACTATATAGAGTGTTAAAGAACAACTGTGCTGGTGGAAGATCAAGAGAAGGAGGAATAAAATAAATTTAAAAAATAATAAAGTAAACATTTTCTATTTACTTTTTTGAACTCACTATTCTTACCTTGACTCGTGCTTACAACTGAGACAGCAGAAAATTAAGAGAAAGCAACGTTTTGTTTTGAAATAATTGTAATATTTTGTAAGCCCAATGAAATTATTCGAAGATTGCAGGTATTTAATGGTATTAAGCCCAATGATAATACTTCAGATATCTAACATATTTTATATTTAACATAAATGATATTTTCATGCAGAACATGTTTTACAAATAGTCAGATCGATCTTTATATCTAGAATTTTTTTTCAAATTTTATATATCGCAAGAATGTATAGGTAAAACGTCATCAAATAATTTACTTGAATTAAGAAACGAAATGTATTGAGTCCAAAACATTGGCAACACAAAGCAGGGACGTATCCAGGGGGGAGCCGCGGCTTCCCCGATCACTCAAAATGAATACTTCTAAACATGTAAATATGCATCAGTGCACGTTATACATAGGCCTAATAGAACACATAGGCCTAAGCGTGATTTTAAAAAAAATCTTAAATCCATAAATCTCAGGCCAGGTCTTTTAAGATAGAAATGCGATACTGTGGTTGCAAGTTTCTTTAAATGATAGTTTAATAATACTACTACTATTAGTAATAATAATAATAATAATAATAATAATAATAATAATAATAATAATAATAATAATAATAACAATAATGATGATGACGATAGTATTGATATTAATATTAATAACAATAAAAAGTGAAGAAAATTGTGCTAAATGCGAAAAAAGTTGTGATTTGTTGATCATGATATAGTATATATAGTTAAAGCTTAGTAAGCTATAATTAAGCCTAAGTTGTCCTGGATATTAAGTAGATCCCTGATAAAAGATCATGAGAAATTTGTTGGCGTTTCATTTTGACTATAATGGTAATGTGATGATGATGAATTTTACTATATAAAAGTTTCATTTTCGGCCATCTCGAGAGGTACTATTTCCTCAAATGTTCTCACCTCAGCCCAGCCATGGTGGGGCAGAGGTGGTTGTGAAATCACGTTTTTGAAGTAGGCCTATGCAAAGCACATATTCAAAGACAATGTTTTTAATCTTTGTTTTCTATGGTATACACACACACATTAATAAGATCTCTATGGTTGTCAAAAATTTCTGATAAAAGATCGTGAGAATTTTTTTTGGCGCTTCATTTTGACTAATGGTGATGTGATGATGATGAATTTTACTAAAAGTGTCATTTCTGGCCATCTAGATGTACTATTTTCTCACCTCAGCTCCAACCATTGTGGGGCTGAGGTGGGTGTCGACTCACAAAATGCCCTCCCCCTCCACCTTTCAAAACAGATCTGTGCCCTTCCCTGGGTATGACATTAAACTCCATCGAGTCGGCTCCTGATGTATGTCTTAGTGACATATCTCTATGGTTGTCAAAAGTCCCTGATAAAAGATTCTGAGAATTTTTTTTGGCGCTTCATTTTGACTAATGGTGATGTGATGATGATGAATTTTACTAAAAGTGTCATTTCTGGCCATCTAGATGTACTATTTCCTCAAATTTTCTCACCTCAGCTTCAGATCTCTATGGTTGTCAAAAATCCCTGATAAAAGATCGTGAGAATTTTTTTTGGTGCTTCATTTTGACTAATGGTGATGTGATGATGATGAATTTTACTAAAAGTGTCATTTCTGGCCATCTAGATGTACTATTTCCTCAAATTTTCTCACCTCAGCTCCAACCATTGTGGGGCTGAGGTGGGTGTCGACTTACAAAATGCCCTCCCCCTCCACCTTTCAAAACAGATCTGTGCCCTTCCCTGGGTATGACATTAAACTCCATCGAGTCGGCACCTGATGTATGTCTTAGTGACTGCTGTTTGTTTTTAGGATGTGATCTGGTTTTTCGTCCATTTTTCGTAATTATGACTTTTCTGGATAAGAATGTTTTGAGCAGAGGGGGATTCAAGGGCCCCCCCCCCCCCCCCTTCATTATTTTAAGGAAAAAAGAAAGAAAAATATATTCAAATTGAAGTGCGAGAGTGTAATTTCCGGCCATCTAGAGATGACCTAATCATAAATTTTCTTACCTCAGCCCCAAACATGGTGGGACTGAGGTGGGTGGTTCCTCGGTCTGTGAAAGTCCCTCCCTGGTTCACCTCTCTTTCAAATTCCTGGATCTGCCACTGTTGATTTATTATATAATTATTTTTGCGCTTATTTATAATGCGTCTTTTGCAATTTTCACTTTATCCTCTCAAACAGTCCCAAGAACGTTCAGAGTGCGCTATTTCACAGGGGACGAACACAGGGGGATTCGCCCCTTGACCCCGCCGGGGTCATACGTAATTCGCATAACGGCTCCCTCCCTTTCAAAATCCTGGCTACGTCCCTGACACAAAGTGAACCAGGTGTACAATGTATACATATCTCTCTACATTTGATGAAATCATTTTATAAGATACAATTAGCAATGTATTTGAATAATATTATCAATACTACATCCTCTGTGTATTTAAATGTATTAAAAAGAGGAAAACAATGATTCATTAAACTTCGATATGATTACAAAGATTTAGATGAGGAGGAGCCTGTCATCTTGTGTCCTGCAAATATTTTGGTGAACAGTGGTGTCGACCAGTCGTCGAATCCAGTAACTTGGAGTGAACCTACAGTGACTGATAATGTAATTACCGGTTTATCAGCAACATGTACACCAGAATCTGGATCTGTCTTCGATGTTGGTTCAACTATCGTAACCTGTTCTGCTACTGATGGTGCTGGTAATGAAGGAAGCTGTTTGTTTGTTGTCCATGTTACAGGACAAATAAACACTGCAGGTATGAAGTAACCACTTGCGAATGTAGTCTTGGTGGTCATTTACAATCACGACGAAATAACATTATAATGATGTAGTATGAAGATGCCATTACTCCATTTCATACAATCAACTACTAAACTGCATACCATTACTGAGATAATATTCTCCTAATGACGATTGAAGCAACTCAATCTGAAACGTGGAGAAATTCTCAACAAAACAAGTGCTCTTTTCAGAACTCTCTGCGTGGTGTACCGCACGCATTTAATTATATTATTATTACTTCGCCATGCAAACTTTCTAAGGATACCATTACTCTTGTAAGGCACATTTTGTAAAATTATAAAATGTAAAAATTTCCTACCAGTGGCGTATTGGTCTATCTTGTAATCGGTCACCTACTGTACGTGCACCTCAGGGGATACGGCACAGTTTTTAGATGGAAAAACATTGAGATAATTAATGCTGCACGGAAAATAATATTAAACTGTGTCCATTTAAATATGCGTTAGAAGTGCTCATAAATTGTATAAGTAGTATAAGTAGTATCGGTGACGATATAAATCACAGTGCGCCCAGCATGCTCCCTGCTGCTGTTATTACTACAGTTACTGCTACTGCTTTTACTACTACTGTGCTGCCACTACTACATGCTGCTATGCTGCTCCTACTATTAGCTGCTTAGTGCTTGTACTGTATGCTGGAATGAAAGAATGCCAAGACACGTGGCTGTAACAATGGATACTGCCGGATAAAGGAGCGGCCGAGCCTGCAAATACGTCGTCTGTAGATAAAGAACAATTTAGAAAATGTATTACTGTACATTAAACACATAAAAATATACAAGTTCTAAAATAATTGTATTATTCACTTCTTTGAGGCTGAGCAAAGTTTTAAATAAACACCGAAAATGGAACTCCCGGGGAAAAAAAGTGGTATTCTCTATCTTTTGCCGACGGATGGCCCAGGGTTTTGTTTTTTATAAAGTAGGTCCATTTTCGCATCATATTCTATATATATACCGGTTTGAGTCAAGAAGACACTGCTGGGCGTCTTAAACTGTGGTGGCAGACTTTTCCTCTCATTCGACTCTCTTTCTGTCCCTCCTGTTTTCAACATATCCTTATAATATATATATGTATAATATATAAATTAATATTGTACAAAATACAAAATAAAAATATATTGTGTGACATGATTGTGATAATTATGTATTTTCTTCTTAAAGCAAAAATCCATAGTGGAAATAAAACTGATAATAGTGGCTACTTGATAGCAGTTGTTATTCTTGGTGTGATGCTTTTAGTTTTGACGTCAACGTTCGTCATCGTATGCAGGTATTGTTTAATAGACCGTCAATTTTCATTACTAATTGCTATTGAAGTTTTCAGCGTTACAAAACTATAATTATGAATAAATTCTGTCACAGCCTATCTGACTTTTATAAATATAATGCATAATATATATATATATATATATATGAAACACAAGCGATAAAACTTTGAATATCCTATTTAACACCCAAAGTTTGATAAAATTCGTCTATTATTTGCCGACTTCAAAAGTATTGTTGACGGTTAGCGAAGACAAGTATTTAAATTCATTATGGTTTTTGTAATGTTATTAAATCTTCCTAAAGTTATTGATATTTAGTTTTGGCGATGCAAGTGAAAATTGTTATCGCTACGTTAGATTGTAATTGTTTAGCAAGCTCGCTATTAAGTTGTATTGTAATACTTTGTATGGTTGCCACACACAACTCATGAGCTTGTAGGACGCAAGCAAACAAAAATATCATTATTTAAATTGCGAACTTAGTATAGGCCTATATTGTTCTTAGCCTCTTATTCACGTTGGGGTCTTACTATTAAAATACTAAATCATTATTAAATGAAATAAATATTTAATGGTCATTGAACTTCTATTTCAGATATTATAAACGTGTTGAACCTCGCTTTTTATTCATTTATATCCGCTCTGGTCTACCATTGAGCACTCTGCTTGTAATAATTGCGATAGTTTACTTCAGTTATATATCTGTCTCTTATACACATCTAGATGTGTATAAGAGACAGGGATAAACATCAGTACTCGTTCATCGCTTTTGACGTGGTCGAATTTTATCCATCTATTTCTATGAATCTACTGAATGATGCATTAGACTTTGCATCCCGGCACGATAATATCACCGAAGAAGAACGTGAAATAATTTTTCCATACTAAAAGGTCCTGCTTGTACAACTCAGATGAAGCGTGGGGCAAAAAAACATCAACCACACTATTCGACGTCACTATGGGCAGCTATGACGGAGCCGAGACATGCGAATTAGTAGGTTCCTTCCTTCTGCATAAAGTCACAGAAAAACACGGTAACAACTTCGGTCTTTACAGAGATGATGGTTTAGGAGTTACTAATGCCTCACCTCGCCAGGTAGAAATAATCAAGAAAGATCTGTGCAACATATTCAAAAATCACGGCCTAAAAATCACAATCGAAGCCAATAAAAAAGTAGTAAACTTCCTTGACGTCACATTGAACTTAAATTCCGGAAAGTATATGCCATATTCAAAACCCAACAACACGCCGCTATACGTCCACAGCAAATCCAATCACCCACCAGGAATTCTCAAAAATATCCCAGAATCAATAAATAGACGCCTATCCGAAATTTCGTACGACGAGCAATCATTCAATGACGCAGCACCACTTTACCAACAGGCCCTCAATAAAAGCGGATACAATTATAAGCTCAAATTTTCACCATCGCAAGAACCCATCAACGAGAAGCACAGCCAATCCCGCAAACGTAACATAATTTGGTATAACCCATCGTACAGCACGAGTGTTGCCACCAATGTCGGGAAAACTTTCCTCGAGGCTTTAGATCAAGCATTCCCACAAAATCACACACTACATAAATTGTTTAATCGAAACACTGTCAAAATTAGTTACAGTTGCACTGGAAACCTTAAACGGACCATTGATGGCCACAACAAAGCAACCATAAACAAGAAAACAAATCAGCAAACCAACAAAGGATGCAACTGCAGGAAGCCCGAAGAATGCCCAATGTTTGGCCACTGCCTCAAAGAATGTGTTATCTACCAGGCAACGGTTACAACTAATAACAAACCAAACCAAACATACGTAGGACTCACAGAAAACGCATTTAAGACAAGATAAAATAACCACAAAGCCTCCTTCAGGAACAAATCCAAGAGACTTAACACAGAACTAAGCAAGTACATATGGGAACTAAAAGAAAGAAATAATGGACTTTAATATTAAATGGAACATTCTCAAACAAGCTAAACCATATAACCCAAATCAAAAAGATGCAACCTGTGCATATGGGAAAAATATTTTATAATTTGCAAACCGGAAATAGCTACACTAAATAAACGTAATGAACTCGTTTGAGCATGCAGGCATGCCAACAAATTTCTTCTAAGAAATTTTGTAACTTAATTTTATTTTAACCCCCTCCTAGCATGCTAACATCTTTCCCATGTAATGTTGCTACTTAACTTATGTTTATCCCTTTCATTGTTTATCAATCCTTAATCTGACTGAACTAATTGAACCCTTTGTATTACCGCTCTGGCTTTCTGCGCATGCTCAGCTTATCTCAATCAATTGTATTTCTATGTTTTTTAGTCATTAGGCAATTTTATCTGAAGAGTGTCACACCATGTGTGTGGTTTGTTGTTGCTGCTATTATGCATATTAACAACATATATCACATATCAAGCGCCCTGAGCATCTTACAATAGATGGATATGTGTGCTATGTAAAACTACACTATTATTATTATTATTATTATTATTATTATTATTATTATTATTATTATTATTATTATTATTATTATCAGAAACAAGCAGTACGAACGTTACAACAAATCGGTATGTGGGTTGTTGAGGTATCTTGATCCGAAAAGCAGAGGTGGCCAGAATTAATTCATAAAATTGTCTTTATGTATAACTCCTCACTCTGTTACTGGCGCCAAGTTCTTCCGACAATTTCCAAAATTTTGAGAAGCCTGAGTTAAGTTCAATGAATATTTAGAAAGCAATGACTTATTGTATACATTCCAGTCAGGGTTCAGAGGGGTTTTGTCAACTGACACTTGTCTCCTTTATACTCAGGACTACAAAGCAAATTTTTTACAGGAAACTTTGTCGGTATGGCTCTATTGGATATTCAGAAGGCATTCGACAGCATTGATCATGTCGTACTGTGTGGCAAATTAGAGGCTCTTGGTGTCCTTTCTATCAACTGGTTCAGCTCCTATCTTCGCAGTCGTAGGCAAGTTGTCGATGTCAACAACCTGGGATCGAACGGTATGGGGCTTACCAGTGGAGTTCCACAGGGGAGCCTGTTAGGCACAATCCTCTTACTTTGCTATACATGAACGACATGCGACATGCTGTCGAATGCCTTCTGTTGCAATACACGGATGACAGTGTCTTGTTAGTAGGTCATGAGGACCTGAACATTACCAAGTTCAAACCTTAACAATTGCCATCAATGGCTAGTCGACAATTCCATGTTTTTGCATCCAGGAGTTTATTATTTTCTCATCTATGAAAAAAAAATTGTTGCAGAAAACTCTTGTATCTTTTTCAATGGTCAAGAAATATAATGTAGTGATTCCGTCACGCACTTTTGTTTGGAACTTAATAAATTTTTGAATGGAGAAGCTATTACATTGTCTATTCTCAGAAAGGTTAATTCCAGACTGAAATTTGTATACCGTCAGGGAGCGTATCTTAATCCAAAAGTCAGAAAAGTTGTTTGCTTTGCCCTGTTTTTTAGTTTATTCGATTATAATATTTCATCATGGTATTGGGCCTCTCCAAACAATACCAAAATAAATTCCAAGTGGCACAAAACAAAATTCTTAGGTTTATCCTTGGCAAAGGCCCAAGGTACCATTTATCTCCACAGGACTTTAAAACTGTTTTTAAAACTGTTTTTATTAGCAATTCAGCTTTCTTGCAATCATGTATTCCGAGTCTTTAATACATCCTGCCCAACTTATCCTATTGAGTATTTCACCAAAGTTCAAAATGTTCATAAATACTTTACTCGAAGAACTAGGCATGACTTTAAACCTAAATTTAAACCCCATTTACAATTTAGCTTTTTCAACAATTGCTTCTCCAATTGGAATGCTCTCCTGGTTTCTTTGAAGGAAATTAACAATATACACATATTTAAACGTAAATTAAAACAGCATCTATTAAATGACCTGAAAGATTGATAAAGTCATGCCTAGTTCCTCCAAATTCAAATGTGAATGTTTTCTGTTTTTATGTGTGTTTTTTCTTCTTTTTTGCTTATAATATATATAAATATAGGCTATATATATATATATATATATATATATATATATATAATTGCTTATAATATATGTTACATGCAAAGCACAAACAGAGAATAGGAAACACAATAGCTTAGTATTATATACAATATGTACATT